TTAGAAACTATTTCCTGTTCAAAAGATGCGAGGTGACAGTTAAAGACAACTGTATAGCAATAATGACTTTTTCCTTTTTTCTTTTTTTGGGGGGGCTACTTTAATACAACTTTATTGCAAATACTTGAAGTATAAAGTTTGGTGAGTCTTGGTATGTGTCATCACCAAAATCAAGATAAAAGAATGCACCCATCACCCACAAGTTTACTTTCTAAAGTGGTTGCACCATTTTACCTCCTTACCGGGAATGTTATTATGTACCAGCTGTCCCACATCCTTGTCAACCCTCGATACAGTATTTTTTTTTTCAATTTTAGCCATTCTAGCGAGTGTGGTTTTAATTTGTATTTTCATGACTAGTGACATTGAGCATCTTTTCATGTGCTAATATGCCATCTGTATATCATGTATGGGTGTTGGTTTTACTAGATTTTTGTCAATTTATTTTTGAATCTATTGAGATGATTATATAGAGAAATTGGGTCCTTAAATATTCATAGTTTTCCTTCTTCCTCCCATTCTCTATCTCCTCTCTTTGCATCTACACATTTTTAAAGGCATTTTTTGTGCCCACATGCCTCCACATGTTGTTCTGTTACTTTCTTCTTCCTATGCTTCAGTGTGCATTGTTCCCTACCAACCTATCTTGCAGGTCACTAATTGTCTTTTGTGTGCAAATCCAGTTTTATCCTCCTAATTTGTTGTTGATTCCGGATATTGCATGCAATTATAGAATGTTCATTTTTGATTAATCTTATAGAATAACTTTCTGATGAAAGCCTCAACACTTTTTTTTCCCCTGTAACTTTTCTCAAACAAAAATAACAGAGTTATCACTAGATTGTACACTTGAAACTAAAATAAACAACACATGTTAACTATACTGAAATTAAAATTTAAAAGAATAGGGGTCCCTGGGTGGTGCAGTCAGTTAAGCATCCAGCTCTTGGTTTCAGCTGAGGTCATGATCTCCATGTCTTGAGATCAAGCCCCACATCAGGCTATGAGCTCAGCAAGTAGTCTGCTAGAATTTCTCTCTCACTCTCCCTCTGTCAATCCCTGCATGCATGCTCTCTCTTTCCAAAATAAAGAAATCTTTTAATTTTTAAAAAAGAAAGAAAGATAACAGTTATTTTAGCATTCTTGTCAGCTAACTCCATTATCTGGATTATCTGTGGCTCTGTTTCTTGTATCTCTTTTTTCCTTGGTTTTTGGTCATGTGGTCCTATCTTTTGGAATGTCTCAGAATCTTCAATTAATTTCCAGGTGTTAAAAGTTTTATAGGCTTCTGGTAATATCTTCCTCCAGAAAGGTTCATCCTTCCTTTTGCTAGGACAATACAGTATTCACCCTAATCCAGCTAGAAATCATGATAAATCAAGGCAGAGCTGCAAACGTTGATATAAGGCTTCTTCTACCTTTGCCCTGGCCTTCAGAATCTTCAAATGATAACCTAGGCTGTTCCCCAGGCCCCCTCTTCCAGCAGGTTCTGAATTTAATCTTTGTTTCATAAGGCTCTCTGCTTAATTTTGTCTCCTGTCCTAAATAGCTCTACAATCTTGCAAATTTTCTGAGAGGGAATTATATATGCTTGAGGCTTCTGATTATATCTCCACCAAAAGCTCTCCTGTTCTGTCCCCTAGAAGCAAGACTTAAAATACACAAAACCAAAATTATCAGCCACCTAACAGAATAAGAATGGACAAAAGCCCCCAAGCTAAAAGCAACTTTAGAAGTCAACTCACTTCTAAAATGTTCACTCCTCCTTGGAGTCCTTTCTAGACAGGTCTCCACTGCCTTCAACTAGATGAGCTGAGATATGGTAGTGGTGGACGTAATAATTTCTAGCAACTAGTGATGGTTGTATTTTTTATTCTTTCCTTTTCTGAATAGAAGTGGTCATTGCATACTTGGTGTTGGGGCAGATACTTTTTTCATTTATAGGATATCTGATACCAATGAGCCAATTTAAAGCCTTATAGAGAGAACAATATATTCCTGGAGTTGAACGCAGTCACTGCACAGAAATTATAGCCCACTCCCCTGTGGATGGTGTTTTTCATATAGAGAAAAAGGCGAGACATGAATATTTGGTAGCCAAAACAACAGAATGTGATACATGGCTAGTTTCTCCCCAAAATGTCCTTTCCTCCTTTGAATTTTTGGCTATATATTCAGCCATACAGATGGGAAGATTTACAAGCATCTCTTTCAGTTCAGTGTTTATATGACTTAAAAGTTGGTTCAAGCCCTTTTCTTTCTAGTTCCTTCCTCTGGATAGACTGAAGATGTGATAGCCAGAGCTAAAGCAGCCATTTTAGATCATGAAGTGACCACTGAGAACAAAAACTAATTACATGATGAAGCAGAAGGATGGAAATCTGAGCTTTGTTACTTTGTGGTACACAACCCTTATACAAGCCTTGGACAACATACTACAACAATTTTATCTGAGAGAGAAATAAAGGCCAGTCTTGTTTCAGCTACTGTTATTTTGGGGTTTTGCTACTTACAGCTAAATCTAATCTAAACTAATTAGGAAAGTTCAAGATGGCAGTTCTCAAAGGATGAAAGCATGGTCTGCAGATTCCTAGGGAGTCTGTGAGGTCAAAACCAGTTTCATAATATACTAAAACCCTATTTACCTTCTTCACTGTGGTGACATGTTCACTGATGATGCAAAAGCCACCATAGGTAAAAGCAGCAACATTAGAATGAATAAAGACACTAGTATTCATTGTACTCTTCATTACCATGCATTGATATTTGGGGGAGAAGGAGAAGAAAAGCTTTACTTCGTGTCCTTCAAAAAGCAATCAAAATTATTTATTTTAAATATTGACTGTTGAGTAAATGTCTTTTTAATATTCTGTATGAAATGGCAAATGTGCAAAATACTTCTGGGGATACCAAAATATGATGGTTGTCTTAGAGAAAAGCAATTATGAGATTGTTTAATGAGATAAACTTGGTTATTCAGAAGTGCATATTTGGCAGACATTTTCTTAAACGTGAATGGTTACTTCAAGGAAAATTAATGGTATGTGTTTCCAATGACAAAATTTAAGCTTTCACATGAAAATCAGAATTTTGGGAAACATGTTATCTATCATCTGAATTTGAAAGCTTCCCAATACTTAAGAGGTGCTTTTTTTTAATGATATCACTGGTCATATTACACATGATTTTTAAATTTTATGTGGGAAATGATTTAACATTGGGAAGATCTGCATAATTGGTGAATCAACAATTTCCAAATGTATGGTGTTACAAAATCATGCATAGGAAAATGTTCAGTCAAAGGGCAAGGTAGACCAATAGGTTTTAATGTAACCCGGTGCAAAATTTCATTGATACAGTTTTGAATTCTACAGTGCAATGAACTGTTTGGAAATTACCCCCTGTACATTGTTAGTAGTGTCCAAGAATAAATCTAGTCATATAAAAAGATTATTAAAATATTCTTCTTTTTTCCAATTATATATCTGTGGGAGGCAAAATTTTCTTCATATACGTCAAACAAAATAAATACCAAACAGATTGAATGCAGAAAAAAATATGGGAATCCAGCTGTCTTCTAGCAAGCCAGACATTAAAGAGATCTACAATGCTACTCCTCTCACTATATTATACTTTCAGAAAATTATCTTCATAAAATGTGTATCATTCATGTTAACATGAAGTTGGTTTACTACTATTTTAAAATAAATTGTAAATATTTTTGTAATTTGTCAGTTTTAATTTCTAATGCAGTAAACATTTTTACAACCTTCATAAGCAAAAGCTCTTTGAGGACCTCAGTATTTTTTTTTTTTTCAGAGCTCAAAGGAGTCTTGAGGTCAAAAAGTTTTAAAATATTTGGTTTGTGATACTGAAAGAATTTGAAATACAATTACAAAGCTGAACTCTGTGAAATAATGAGAAGATCAGGAAGAGTACCAAGCTCAGAGTTGGGTAAATAATGCCCTACTCAGAAAAAAGAGGAGTGCCTAAGGGTTCTAGATATTGTGGACTAATATACTTGATACTAATCCTCAAGGGAAAAATTAGTACAGATTAAAGAGAAAATAAAATGCTCACCATTGCCCCCCAACACAAGTTCATTAAGAATAAATCATGCCAAACCAAATATTTGTTTTCTTGATAACCAGCAGAACAGAAGATACATACATAGTATATTTCCCATCAAGCATTTGGTTATCTGTTTGACCCATTAAACAAATCTACTGTACACCCACCATGTTTCAGGCACTATATAATGCATTACAGACAGAGAAATGAACAAGTTGGATGAAATCCCATTCTTTGTGGTACTGACATTTGAAACACAGATCTTTTCCTTTTTATGAAATGTGAGCATGAATTAGTATGGAAGAAAGAACAGTTAAAACTGTTAACCATAAAATGAACTAAAAATTGTCTTTTTCTCCTCCCAACAGCATGGGACATTATATATATTCTAAAAACTGCATTTCCTTTAGCCCGAGGTTGGGGAAAAGAAGAGAAAATAAGGAAGAAAAATACACTTGAGAACTACGGTAAAGAGATATAGAATAACCCTGTTGTGCAAGAATGGTGATGGTGGGGTTGACATGCAGGAGAGAAAAATTGTTATTCTAATTAAAGTACCCTCAATTTTTTTTCAACTAACTCTCTTAAACTCCATGTATATCTAGCATCTGCTATTTTATAAATAGTAAAGCACTACACAAATGTATAGCTTTCATATTAGCAAATGCCAAATCTTTACTGAATTTCACAATTCTCACAAAAAATTCCTTCATCAAACAGGTTTTGAAGGTTCACCCCAGCTCTCCTCAAAAGTAGTTCCTTTGAGTTTAATTCTTGAGTTGCCACTCTCACATTCTATTCCTGTAAACAAAAAGTTTGACTTGTAGTTGTGGGGAAATCATGCAATCTCTCAGGTGCTTATTCTTTTTAACTGGTGTCAATAAAAGAATTTGCTCAAATTTCTTTCATTCATAAATCCGTCAATGGCATTAACATGTTTGATGTCATAAATTTTATTATAAAAACCAATACACAACACCATGTGCTTCATATTGCTGTCAGCACAAGATCGGTAGACACTAAAAGTCCTGAAGCTTCAAAATTAAAATGTTTTATGTCCTTGCTTTAAGTAGAACTTCATTTCTAAAAGTTAAAGAAGAGAAACCAATTTCAGTGTTACAACTCATATACCAACAGCATTTATTGCTTTGGTAAAAACATGTGATCTGTTAGTAAGATTTCATGATGACCACATGACAAACCCTAAATAATCTGCAGATGGGTTATCCATATACAGTATGAATTCCCAGGCAGCTTCCCCAGGCTTCAGGGCCATTTCCATCTACTGCTGTCAGTAAATATGCAGGGATTATCAATTCTAATATTTAAATATTATTTAGATTTAATCCAGAAAGTCTTAATAGTGCAAAACAAATTTTACAATACATTCCCAAGTGAAACATACCTCACATGTCTGAGATTTCCATAACATGTATTGTTAATGTCTTCACTTCTTTCAGGTCTTCCCTGACCGCTCTATAAAAATAAACCCTCATATGCACACCAGTACTTTCCATGCCCCTTACCATGTTTCATTTGTCTCTGGAACTTACCACTATCTGCAATAAAAAATATTTAAATGTATATTTGCCCGACTGATGTCTCCCCTTCCCAGAATAAACTTAAGGAGAATGAGAATGTTCTGGCTGTTCACTGTTTCTTGAACACTTCTGAGCACGTAGTATGCACAGAATTTCTTAAATGAACATTGAGATTATAAGTACCTTTGGTTTTTGGTAAGAAAACAACTAACTCCACAAATCTGAAGGTAAAAAGGAACCTAAGCAGAGAAGAGATGTTACAAAGTCCATTCAACTGATGCCCTATTGCATAGTAACACAGGCTTTAAACCTGGACCAAGTTGGATTCCAGTCCACTTATTAGTAGTGACCTCATGGGTCTGCTACTAACTTTCCACATAAAATTTACCCAGTAAAAAATAGGGACAATAATAGCACCAACTTAACGTCATTAAAGTGATTAAATGTGATGAAGTGTGTAAAACACTTACATGACAGCAAGAAAGTGCTTAATAAAAGGAAGCTAACATTATTATCATCATTATCACCATCATCATCTCACTGAGGTTCCACAGCCTAATATTTCCCAAAAAATTCCTGGTAAGACTGGCTATCTAGTTGCTAAGTCCATATAGCTGAGAAGTGGCAAGTTAGAGAGAGAAGGCCATTGCCAAAAGCTCAGAGCAGTAAAAAGATGGGAGGAAAATGGAAGTTTTCCTGAGGCACTGCCTTACAGCATAATAATAATGTCCATGGGGATGGTGCTTAGCCACTAAGAAAAAAATGACATTCCATTTAATACATTCTTTTCAGATAGGAAGAAAATAAAGTTCTAAAATTAGGAAGATTTACTTCAAAATGGTTTACATAAACTTTTTGTGTGAAAGATAAACTCCCATTACTTTCAAAATTTCCCTCCTACAAAAAAGGAGTAAATGAGGCATTTATTTTACAGAAGGCCTGGATATCTCTGCTGTAAAGACCCATCAGTGTGATTTATGCCAACCTCTCTAGAGTTATTTTTGACATCCTATTAAAGATCCAATTGTCTTAATATAGGATCATTCTTCTCTCATAATCTGTAATGGATCTCCAGTATGGATTTCAGGGAGGTAGTAAATAGCTCCATCTTACTGTCTCAGTGACATTGCTACAATCCTATAAAAAATCCTCATTTATTTATTCTATTTCCTTTAGTGACAGAATAACCAGAGCCTTCCCATAGAGATTAGGAAGAAAGTCAAATTTCAAAATCAAAACCACATTCCAAATTTCTTAAAAGATTTTTTTTTTCAATTCCTTTGTAAAAACATTGGTCACCATTTAACATACAGTGGCAACAAAATGCACTCAATTCACATGCATCAACAAGTCAATAAATCATGATACACAGACAACATGAATTTTAAATGAACAGTACTAAAGTAGCTCATGTTGATTTAACTATAGTTATGGTGCTTCCAATAAAGAAATAGCTATTATGAGAAATAAGATTCCAGTTTCAATCTGAAATAAGGTTATTTGTGACAAGTACCATGAAACTATGGTTTTATGAAGTCATTCTCTTAAAGGGAACCATTTTTCAGAAATCACTTTGTGCAAAGCACCAATACTCATGTAGAATTAAGATCTTGAAAAGATGTGTACCTTAGATAAGGACAAAAGGGCTCCATTTTTTGAAAGTTAATTATCTGAATGATTCAAATATATATTATGCCCCCAAATTAAAATATCTTTCAACATGAAGGTTATATATGCTATGTTTTGACACCTTAAATAATTCTTCAGACATTCGGCTAAACTGAAAGCTTCTGTAGGACTGGATTATTTTCAAGAGCAAAAAGTGAAAACCAATAATCAAAGCCCTTTCTAAACTTACAGGCAAGATTTCTGGGTATGGGATTTAATTAATAAGAAGAAAATTTAAGCACCACAACAAAATAGTTTTTAGAAAACAGAAAGGACTGGCAATATACAAGTTAGGAACAAATGCACTTAAACATTAAAAAAAAGTTGTTTAAATTAGCACTCTAACCCTATCAGCTAAAATAATTTTAAAAATTCTTTTTGGTGTGTATGTAGTACTATGTGGAAGATAAAGACCAAGATTCTGTTTAAGAAGTCAAGTTCTGTAATTCTAATTTGATCAAATGAGACTATTGTATTATTTGTACACAGTAAGAATGTTATATATTTATTTTTATATTATAATTTATTTTCTTCTTTTCTCTAAAAAATCTATGATTAAAGGATAGCTCTAAGCTATTTTCAAGTGCACAGAGGGTAATTTATGACAAATTGCCTTGTGGGGGAAAAACAGCCCTTCTCAAAATAAGAGGTCAAAGTAATATGTGCAAGTAAATTTTAAGCTAAGGTAAGTGTAAATCCATCCACTTAAGAAGTTTTCCTTCTTTTGCAACAAATAGTTACCTTAATTTCAGTTTTTCTCCTCCATGATGAGTTTACTTTTACAAGTAAGAGTAATTTTTTAGCATTTATATAAAAGACCACATGCTAACAAACTTTAAGGGCTCATAAAATTTATGACTCATATATAGTTGTACTATATATGTCGGATATGCAAGGCTGAAAATCAGCAATTTCAACCTAGAATATTATTTAAACATCATCAAAGAAGAAAAAAGACAAAAAAAAAAAAGATTTCTCCTCACGTAACTTTTGATTACTATTCATAGCCAAAAAGCAAAATATAAAATATTTAGTCTTCACCTCAAAGTAAATTATCCAGAAATAAAACTTTTATGTGATAAGACATCAGGATTATGAGTATGGAGTATTCAGATTCATTCAGATGAGAAGATGTTTTGGGGAAAAAGAAATCCATCCCAAACAACAGAATTTGTATCTCGTTAACCTTCCAAACATGACTTCAACTTTACCACTTATACCATAAGCCTTCTCAACAGTTCCCATTTTCTTTTTCTCTAAAAAAGTTTTTTAGCCTCTTAATTTCCAAGTGTCATGTCAAGCTCCTTATTTTGCCCTAATTCCACAATCCCCATTTATAAAGGACCCTAAAATCATCATTTTCTTGGAGCAGAAGCTACCATGTAATGATTTAAAATTGAGAAATTAAAGATAAAAAATTTCAACTGAAAATAATACACTTACTAACATATATGGTTTTATGTAGTAAGGACATCACATAATTACTCATTCTGATTAACCTCTGGCTCTTGAGACATTGAGGTCAGAAAATTAAAGTGAATAACAGATACTTAAAATACTTAAAGTGTATATCTACCTTGAAACGACTAAGAGTTTAAAAAATGACTAAAATTATATGATTGTAAATGTTCAATGTAAAACAGTACAAAATTGATGTTGCCCAAATAGAGTAAAAAAAAACCTTTAACTTATATTATACATCTTAAGTAATGTCGCAAAAATCTCAAGGCTGAGTTGTAACTAGAGAACAACAGCAACGACAGAAGATCCTTTCATGCATGCACACACATGAAGTAACAAATATGCAAACCCCAACTTAGTACAGTACATCAATGACTGATACTTAAATGATATTTTGATATATAAAGAAAAAGGTAAAATGTTGACTGCCATTGATGAAAAAGCATTTCAACAATTTACACAAAATGGATACTAAACATTTTTTAAAAAGATGTCCTAAGAAAACCAAGCCACAATAAGTTAGTGTTTTCCGTAATACATGCTGAATTATTTGATCCCGTATCTATACACTGTTATTGTCTTAATTCCTAAATGTTGTGACAGCATATTTAGTAATTGAGGTACATTAGTTTACATCTTTTTATAGGTATTCTAATAGGGTTAATTTTTCTTTTCCAGTTTTTCATCTTCTTCACCTCCTCCAAAGAAAAGCAAAGGAAACATTCCTAGAATGCAGCCAATAGTCACCCCAACAGCTTTGCCCTAAGGAAACAAAAGAAGACATTTTTTGAAAGTTATTTTATCCCTGGAAGAAGGATCTTTGCCTAAGTAGCTATGATAAACAATTACTATGTACCATAAAACTCAACTGTAATTGCCTTTCTTTTGATCATAGTAATTTACATGTAAAATAAGTTATATATGACAAAGGACACAAGCCTATGCCATGGAGAAAAGATAGTTTCATAAATGGTGTTGGGAAAACTGGACAGCTACATGCAAAAGAATGAAACTGGACCACTTTCTTACACCATACACAATAATAAACTCAAAATGGATTAAAGATCTAAATGTTAAGAGCTGAAATCATAAAAATCCTAAAAGAAAACATAGTCAGTAATCTCTTGGACGTCAGCCTTAGCAAAATTGTTCTGGATCTGTCTCCTCAGGCAAGAAAAAACAAAAGCAAAAAATACACAATTGAAACTACTTGAAACTGAAAGCTTTTTGCAGCACAAAGGAAACCATCAACAAATGACAAAGCAATCTACTAAATGGGAGAAAATATCTATAAAAGATATAACCAATAAGGGGTTAATATACAAAATATATAAAGAATTCATACAACTTAACAGCAAGAAGCAATCTGATTAAAAAATGGGTAGAGAACCCGAATAGACATTTCTCCAAAGAAGATAATCAGATGGCCAACACATGAAAAGCTGTTCCATACTACTAATCATCAGGGAGATGTAAATCAAAACCACAATGAGATATCACCTCACTCCTTTCAGAATGACTAAATCAAAAACACAAGAAACAAGAAGTGGAGAAAAAGGAACCCTCATGCACTATTGGTGGGAATACAAACTGGTGCAGCCACTATGGAAAACAGTATGGAGATTCCTCAAAAAATTAAAAATAGAACTATCATATGATCCAGTAATCACACTACTGGGTATTCACCCAAATACAAAAACACTAATTCACAAGGATATATGCCTCCCTATGTTTATTGCAGCATTATGTACAACAGCCAAACTATGGAAACAGCCCAAGTGTCCACTGATGGGTGAATGGATAAAAACGTGTACACACACACACACACACACACACACAGGAATAGTATTCAGCCATAAAAAAGAATGCAACAACATGATGGATCTAGAAGACATGCTAACTGAAATAAGTCAGAGAAAGGCAAATACCATATGATTTCAATCATACGTGGAATTTAAGAAAAAACAAAGGGGGAAAAAAAAGAAAAACCGAAAACAGACATTTAACTATAGAGAACAAACAGATGGTCATCAGATGGGAGGTGAGTAGAACAGGTGAAGGGGATTAAGAGTACACTTATCTTGATGAGCACTGAGTAATAAACAGAATTGTTCCATCACCGTATTATACATCTGAAGCTAATTTAACACTGTATGTTAACTAGACTGAAATTAAAATTAAAAAAGACAAGAAATAACAAATGTTGGTGAGGATATGGAAAAAAGGGAACCCTTGTGCACTGCTGGTCAGAATGTAAATTGGTGCAGTCACTATCAAAAACAGAATGAAGGTTCCTAAAAACTTAAAAATACCATATGACCCACTAATTCCACTTTTGAGTATTTATTTACCCAAAGAAAATAAAAACACTAATTTGAAAAGATATATAAATAACCCTATATTTAGTGTAGCATTATTTACAATGGCCAAGATATGGAAGCAACCTAAGGGTCCATAAATAGATGAATAAAGGGTCCATAAATAGATGAATAAAGAAGATGTAGTATATGTGTACATGCACACACACATGCATATACATGTGTGCAGGTATAGGTATATGCATGTATACATATTTGCATATGTGTGTATATGTATGTATGCTACATATGTATATGTATGTATACTACATATATACATTTGTATACTTGCATGTGTATATATACGTGTATGTGCACGCGTGCACGTGCGCACACACACACACACACACAGACAATGGAGTATTACTCAGCCATAAAATGGAGTATTACTCAGCCATAAAAGAGAATGAAATCTTGCCATCTGTGACAATGTAGATGGACCTAGAGGGTATTATGCTAAATGAAATAAGTCAGACAGAAAAAGACAAATAACATGATTTCATTTATATGTGGAATCTAAAAAACAAAACAAACAAAAAATAGATAGACTCACAGATACAGAAAACAAAGTGGTGGATGCCAAAGAGGAGGAGATGGAGGGGATGGGTGATATAGGTGAAGGCAATAAGAGTACAAATTTCCAATTAGAAAATAAGTAAGTCATGAGAAAGAAAAGTAATAGCACAGGAAATATAGTAAAAAATGTTGTACACTAACTTTGTATAGTGAAGGATGGTGACTACACTTATTGTGATATTTTGTAATATATATAATTGTTGAATCACTATGTTGTACTCCTGAAACTAAATTAATATTGTATGTCAACTACACTTAAGTGGACATTGGGGAGGATATATCCTATGGTGAGAAAAAAAATGAAAAAAAATTAAAATTAAAATTAAATCTACAGTAAAAAAATAAAAACAATTTAAAAATAAGCTACAAGAAGGTTCTAGAACAAGTAATATTTAAAGTTCAATGCAACTAGGAAAAGTTTTTTTTTTCAAATTGCCAAGAAATAACTCCAAAGAAATATTCAAGTAGAAATATACCTTTTAGAAATTGTACATATATTTTCACTTCTGAAGATAGGGGAAAAAAACCTCACCAAATACTCTTAAATATTTGGATTTGCTCCTTTTTGTATATATTCCTTTTCAATATTTATCCCCATGTATATGTAATTATATGTAGGTCTAATCATTATGTAAACATAGCTTTGTTTTCTGCCTCAATTCACCCCCCACAGCCACACATGTTATAATAAGCTCTTTTTTCCAAACTGTTTCATAAACTTAATAGAAAACTTCTAAATTCCACTGAATTGATGGCCTATAGTATGTTTAAAGCTCTCCTTACACCATTGAAAGTCACTGCTTTTTCACCAGTATAAGTGATATTGTAATAAACATTTCTGTGTGTAGTTTTTCCCAATGATTTATTTAAAAATCAAATAATATGAATATCTGTGCATATTCATAGGGTAATGAATGCTATGCTGTCTATTCTAGACCAAAAAGACAGCAAATACATATATACCAATTGAAATACAGTTGACCCTTTATCAACACAGGTTTGAACTGTGTGGGTCCACTTATATGTGGGTTTTTACAGTACAGTACTATAAATGTATTTTCTTTTCCTCATGATTTTTTAGCAACATTTTCTTTTCTCTAGCTTACTTTATTGTAAGAATACTGTATATAATATGTAGAACATAAAATATGTTAATCGACTACATATGTTATTGATAAAGCTTCCAGTTAACAATAAGCTATTAGTAGTTAAGTGTTTGGGAAGTCAAAAATTATATGTGGCTTTTCAACTCATGAAGGGGATGACGCCCCAACCTCCAGTTGTTCAAGGGTCAACATATATGTATATGTATGTGTATATGTATATGTACACATATATGATATATACACATATATGATATATACACACCAATTTTTATACAATCATACCTATGCTATGAACACTTTTAAAATTTTTATTTTTGTAAATAATTTTTTAAATTTGCATTTCTAGGGTGATCATCTAGGTTAAACATTTTCAATTAAGTTTTATTTCTTCATAATAAACATTTATTAAAAATCTACTGTGTGCCAAACTCTGTGCTAAGTACACCGAGACACAGACTAATTAGATGCAGTCTATCTCTCTCTTCTAGGTACTTCCAGTTAGTTATAAAGAGAAAAGCAAATAAACAAAACAAGTTCTATCAAGTATTACTGGTGCTATGATGGCTAGCTACATGATCAATGGTCTTGAATAAAATATTTTTTCCTATACATTGTCCATTTATCTATCAGATCCCACAGGTTTTCTAATCAATTTCAAGATTAGACATTAGTGTTTCAACAACAGCTTGCATAAAAATTTTCAACTCTGTTATTTTTGGGTTTTGGTTGTGGTGGTAGAGAGGGTGGTGGCAGTATGTCCATGCTTTATATTAACAGTCAGATTTGTCATTTTCATCATGCCAAACTTGGAAAAGTGTCACTCCTATGGAGTTTTAATAAACAGAAGTTTTCTTCATTCCAGTTGCTGAAAAAGTTTATCCTAGATCCTTATCTTGACCTTTAAGTTTGTATTCATTTATATTTATTTATATATACACAAAGAGAGACTATTTTATTACGGATTCCTGAGTTTCCTACATACACAAAATGTCTGCTGCCACTTCTACTTCTCACCCATTCTTCTATTTCTCACCCATTGTTACTACTGTCCAGAAACCAAGGCTTTCTTCTCTACCTCCCTACTTACTTTAGGATTGCCAGTTAATGAGTTTCAACCCAATTATCTCAATGGGTCATAAAGTCAATAGGGAAGAAAGGGAGGAAAGAAGTGGGATACCCTGATTCAGAACCTGAAACATCTTTCCACTGAAAAATCAGTTACTTATATATTATTATCAGGTCTTATGATAGCCTAGGCCTTATAATTAACTACTTTGGGGCTAACCTAAGAACTTAAGTACATTCATAATATGGTTCTGCAAGAAAATATTTTCTGAGTTTCAAATAGCCAAATTATAAATGAGCTTTTAAAATACAACCTATGTCAACAGGAACCTGCCTGTGTATTTGCATATGTTCCATTATGGGTCAATTTCAGAGTTAGCTTATGTCATGAATAGACTGCTGATCACTAACTTAAATTACTTCAGGCTATTTGCTAATTGAATTTTATGTTACAGAGTAGATTTCATCTTAACATAAAAGAAGCAGAGTCGATGACTAAGAAATAAAATCGCTTCATATGCTGGTGGAAGATTTATCAAAATACAAACATACACACACATACACTAGCTTAGTAATTGAAGTACTCGTATAATAGGAGAGGGGAATGGAACTGCTTATAATACAGAAAGAACACAGAATTATCAACTATGCGAGAAGAAAGCCTAGGAAAATAATCTTCTCTTGATCCTAATTGTAGTGCTAAAATGTTAAGCCAAACTGCTAGAATGTTAGAATATCCTGATTCCTCAACAACTCTGGCAGATACTAGCCAGCTAATCTCACTTCGATTTATCTACGAATTGCAGTATATGGACACTTTTGTATGATTTTTACAAAGAAATAGTTAAGTCTAATGTGGAGCCCGAGATTTGCATTTCTAACAAGTTTCCAGGTAGTGTTGGCCCTGCTGACATTACACTTTGAGAAGCACCGTCCTGTATAATCTCACTTTCTCCCGTGGTTTTAACTATCACCTTTTCAGTGAGGCCTGCAGACCCTCCTATTTAATCCTGCAAGCTGTCTCCATAGCAGCACTCCCAACCTCTTTTACCCTACTCTGTTTTCTTTTTTTCTTTAATTCCTTTAAAATTTGTGAATTTCTAGTACATTAAGCATTTTATTTATCAGATTTTTTTATTATCTTCTCTCCACTGCTAGAATGTCAGACCCACCAGAAAAAAAGATATTGTTTTGTTAACCAATATATTCAAAACTCCTACATATGTACTATGCATACAGCAGGTAAACAATTAATTTTATTGAATGATTAATAATACTCATCATCTCTAATTCAGACCTCTCTAACTCTTCACTTTTAATCCAAATGCCTACCAGGTATTACCACTTGAATGTCCTATAAGCATCTCAAATTCAACTTGATCGAATTGAAAACAGAACTCATAACCTTCCCTTACTAACTTGTCCTTCCTCTTTTTCTTCTTGACTTAATTGGTGGCATCGTGATCCATCTAGTTTCCTTCCTATTTAAAAGTCTTCGCTAGAATGCCATCACCTAGGTATGAGGTTCAAGCTCCTTAGTAGAGCTTATGCAATGTCTTTCCTGTCTGATCCATTCTTACTTCTCCAGTGCTATTTCCTACTGCTGCTTCACTCTTCAACTACTACATTTTATAGTCCAGCAATACCCTAATTTCTTGTATTTCTCTGAACATACCCCGTTTTTATCATGTCTTTCTACCTCCTAGTCAATGTACTCAGATTCTCTTGTTCACCTAGTAAATATCCCATCAATAACACAAAAATCAGCTGAGATCCAATTTTCACCAAGAAATCTTCCCACCAAAAGAAATTTCTCCCCACAACGTTTTAATTCTCTTACTTGTGCTATTGCTATATCTAGTGCATAATTCTATAACTGCATATGTCACATTAAATTATAGTTTGTTTACATGTCCGGTTCTTCACCTAAACAATTCTTAAAAATAACTTTAATTTATATTCATTTTATGTCCTTCAGTCTCTACTATATGACAGATATTCCTTAACATTAACTGAATCATATAAAGAATATTCTAAAAATCAAGTATACCTACAAAAAATAGACAATAAAAAATTATTGTTCTGAAAACTGCCAAAGCTTAGACAATTTTTCTAAAAACTCCACTCAAATCAATTTAGTCTCAAATTTCTCAAAAGGATTGAATTATACAGTATCTTGTTCTGGCTACCTGAATGCATTATCATAAACCATATGCAGTACTTACAAAATGTGTACTAACACGTGTTTGCCACATGTCCACCTGCTTTGGTGTAAGATCAGGAATTGATAGGCCTAATCTGGAAGCCAAAGCTTCAACATAGCCTGCAAGTCTTTAAAAAAACACAAGGACAGAATATAAGTTTTTAAAGAGACACACAAAAGTCCTCAGATAATAAACAAATTGCTACAAAAAGAAACAAGATAATTTTACACCTGTAACTGGCACTCTAGAAATGGTATAAATGCTTATTTACAATTTCCATTTTTATTGTGCATAAATATACAGTTTAAAAATATTTTAATATTAATATTTTCATACAGAGATAAACTAATTGACTTAGAGCAAATCCTCTCTCTTATTTTATTTTGTTTTATTTATTTATTTTTTTGAGAGAGAGCAAGCAAGGGGGTTGGGAAGGTGGGAGAGGGGCCAAGGGAGAGGAAGACAGAATCTCAAGCAGGTTTCACACCCAATGCACAGCCTGATACAAGGCTCAATCTCACGACCCAGATATCATGATCTGAGCTGAAATCAAGGTTCAGATGCTTGGGGCTCCTGGGTGGATCAGTTGGTTAACTGTCTGCCTTAGGCTCAGGTCATGATCCCAGGGTCCTGGGTCTGAGCCCTGCATGGGGCTCCCTGCTCAGCAGGGAGCCTGCTTCTCTCTTTACCTCTGTGGCTCTCCCTGATTGTGAGGGCACTCTCTCTTTGTGTCAGATAAATATATAAAATCTAAAAAAAAAAAACCTTAACTGACTGAGCCACCCAGGCACCCCTCTCTCTTATTTTAAAAGATCATTTCAAGGTATAATAAAAAAAAAAAAACTTGCAATAAAATCATAGTCATGAACTCCAAATTTAAAGCAAAGCACGTTAACATATGCTACTAGATAGGGGCATCTGGGTGGCTCAGGTGGTTAAGCATCTGCCTTTGGCTTGGGTCATAATCCCAGGGTTCTGGGATCAGGTCCCACATTGGGCTCCCTGCTCGTTGGGGAGTCTGCTTCTCCCTTTCCCTCGGCCCCTTTGCTTGCTTGCGCTCCCTCTCGCCCACTCTCTCTCTCACACATAAATAAATAAAATCTTTAAAAAAACCAACCATGATATTAGATTGAAATACTAAGAAAAACCCACTAGAATCTTCAGGGCAATCTCAAGTATTTATTTCCCATCAGTTATTGGATACAAACTCACTTTATCAACTGTAAGAAAGAAAAAAATATGGATCCCAATATCAGATATGTTAACTTCTAAAAAAACCTGTATACCTAAGAGTCAAGAAAACATATTTGTTATTTAATGATATTTTTTAAAGGCAGAGGAGAAATAGTTTTTAAATATAAAGACTCCCAACAATATCTTATCTCTAATCAAAAATAACTAATTAATGATACAATCTAAAATTAAATGGCCTTAAAATCTATCAGACCACTTAGTTCTCTTATATATAAAAAGCTATCACAGTAGCTGTGACATAACATTAACATTAATGTTGAAAATGGGGAAATTAGAATATGTAAGGGGTGATATCATTATAGATTTATGTCAGGAATCTGAAAAATATAAAATTTACGCCCTAGTCCAAAAACAAGAAACTCTGTATTTTAACAGTAGCTTTGGCCCCAAACTCCAGTACAGAAGTCTAATACACAGGGTCAGATCACTTATGAAGCCACCTTTTCCTAGATTATAAGGCTAAGTAAACTTCTGGTAGGCCCAAATCCAAATCTCAAAACTTAACCACTCTCATGAACCATGGAAGGAAAAAACAGAGCCAAAGACTGAGCAAAAGAGAGTATGTTTATTACAATAATTAATGCCAATTTGGTCTAACTTGTACTTTCCAGGCTTCCTCAAGATCAGGAGGCAGCCCAGGCCATGTGTTGCTTGGAAGAGAGGATGTAAAATGAGAAAGAGAGAAAGCTGGCCTTTTCTAAGTAGACATTCTCACTTTATTTCATCATTCCAGCCACACAGAATAAAGAGAGCAAAAACTGGCCAAACCCATGTATGCTCTGGCATTATCCCTTCTGAAAAGTTCCTCTCTCCAGAAAACATGCCCAGTCAGTATCCTCATATTTGAGCCATATCTCTTATCTTTGAGCTTAATGGGAGAAGAGTGGGGTGAAATAATGATGGGGTTCTTGGTTTTAATTTTTTATTTTAATTTGTTTTATTAATTTTAATTTAACTATTTATTTGGTTTTAATTCTTTAATTTTAACTCTTGGTTTTAATTCTGTCTCACTTTGGAAATGTCTATCAAAAATACATATGAATACTTCAGTAATATTTACATTACAGTCGTTTTAGAAAAACTTTTAGCATGTATCAATCTCTTGAGAAGATTTTAAACACAAATTCCGGGTCCCTAAACCCAGAGACACAAGTTCCAAGGCATAACCCAGGCATTTGTATTTGATGCACACTGAAGATTTAGTACTACTGATTTAGAAATGTTAAATCTAAAACTTTAGTTTGAAAACACACACAAAAAATGTCCCATATTTTTTATCTTTCTCAATTAAAAAATGGGGAAGATAAAGAGAGCAAGGTCAGAATACACATGCACAAATGAATAAATGAATGGACCTACCCAAGTCCAGCTAAATCTGACACAAGATTTCCTAAAGCAGCAGCTAAAAAAGTGAGATAAGTGAATTGTTACATGGAAGTCAGAAAAATCATTATAATACGTCGCTATATCATCAATGAAGCACTCATCTGGAAGAGTAGTCACAAGTTTCTGAAACTACAACAGCTATGTATCCAAAGTTACTCATTGCATAGCTCTGAATTTCAAGATTTCAAAATAGAACACAAGTCTTCTGGGATATAATGTTCTCCTTCCATCAAGCAGTAGGTTTTTTTCTGTTGTGGTGGCCATCTGGAAACCATTTTAGTTTCAATACTATGCAGTATTTTCTGTATCCTTCATTATATTTAAGGAAATTTGGATATTTGGAAGTTAAAGTAAACCTTTATGCACAGCTCTGAAATTTGAGAAAATCACAGAGAAAAATGAAGTTTCACCATCATAAAAAACAGAGTGGTAACTAGGGGAAAGAAAGTAATAGAGCCAATCTTATATTTCCTTCTTTGATTTTCCTACACAATTTGAAAATAAATTAGTAGAAACAAGAGCACAAAGGTTTTGGGGTAACACTGAATTAAGAGAAAAATTTATTTTAATATAGTCAGTATAGCATTGTTACTCATTAACATTAAGTACCTAAAATTTCTCAGGAAAAAAGTGCTATATATACAACATTAAGAAACTGAAGAACAGGATTAGGTAGACAAATAGACATTTCAATGAGTAAACTTATTTAAATAAATCATCCACTTCTAAGTCCAACCTGCTAAAATATTTTATAAATATATGGACAATGGAATAATAATATGACTTATTAAATACCTGCCATAGTTGAAATTCCCAAAATAATTCCAATAGACATCTCAATATGGGTTCCCTAAAAAATGATTACAAAGAAATTAATTTAAAAATTAATGCTGAAGTGACTGTAAAAAAGAGCAAAGTCTTAATGAAAACAGATAAACTGCTTAAGCCAACAGGTTATTGCAGCAAAATTATATATATAAAATATGCCAAAATATTCATATAATGCAGTAATGCACTTAACTATTAAATATATGCATTCATGCAAAACAACATCAGTATCATTTGATTTATTAAAATCAGGCTTTTATAAAAAATAAAAATAGCAACAAATACTATTATAATAAAAATAGCAATATAACTCATTGTTAAAAATCTAGAATTTATATTTTCCAGCAACAAAGATTCTTTAAATCTCTTGGAACACAAAGACCAACTCACCTAATTTAAAATATTAATTTAAGCTGTTATTTAAACTATCAAAAGAGTAAAAAAAAAAAAAAAAGACTAAACTGATTTCTAGGGCCCCAAGAGATCACAGACTTCAAAAATTATCTTATAGGGGCGCCTGGGTGGCTCAGTGGGTTAAAGCCTCTGCCTTCGGCTCAGGTCATGATCCCAGGGTCTTGGGATCGAGCCCCACGTTGGGCTCTCTGCTCAGCGGGGAGCCTGCTTCCTCCTCTCTCTTTGCCTGCCTCTCTGCCTACTTGTGATCTCTGTCTGTCAAATAAATAAATAAAACCTTTAAAAAAAAAAATTATCTTATAACACTGAGTACTTTAACCATTAAGTAGTGAGACTATATGATACATTTATGAGCAACAACAGTAATTTGCACAATAGATAGAGCCTCAGTAAAAAACAAGGTACTGAATTTACTGAGAGAGTTTCAGACTTTCCACACCCATCCCATTCCCCTATAGACAAGAGGCACTCGTATTTTTACTTCCATTTTAAAGAGAAGGAACCAGGGGTGCCTGGGTGGCTCAGTGGTTAAAGCCTTTGCCTTTGGCTCAGGTCATGATCCCAGAGTCCTGGGATGGAGCCCAGCATCAGGCTCTCTGCTCAGCAGGGAGCCTGCTTCCCCCCGCCCCCCGCCCCGCCTGCCTCTCTGCCTACTTGTGATCTCTGTCTATCAAATAAATAATCTTAAAAAAAATAAAGAGAAGGAACTGAAATGAAGAAGATTAAACTATTCTAATGGGTTACTACACAGAATAAAGAAGAAATCCTATGATCTATTGTGCTAACTGAGCTCTAATGCTTAGCCAATGCCGCCATAAGTAGACTTAATTTTCCTCCTGAATACTGATGCTTGAAAATTTCTAAATAAATTTTAAAATCACAATGATACTTATGGAGAACAAAAAAGGAATTTCCTATGCAGTATATAGAAATATTGTATTACTCAATTATTTATAAAACTGAAGAGAAGCTGAGTTACGTTTCCTTATTTTCCTCTCACCTAGGTCTTTTGGTTCCATCTCTTTAAAACACAATTCTTGGGGCGCCTGAGTGGCTCAGTTAGGCGGCTGCCTTAACTGGAGTCGTGATTCCAGGGCCCTTGGATTGAGTCCCACGTTGGGCCCTCTGTTCAGTGGGGAGCCTGGTTCTCCCTCTCCCTCTGCCTGCTGCTCTACCTGTTTGTGTGTGTGCTCTCTCTCTCTCTCTCAAAACAAATAAATAAAATCTTAAAAAAAAAAAAAATAAAATTCTTGCTGGATACAGAGAGAACAGCCTGATGCATAAAAGCCTCCCAGGTATTTAAAATCACAAGGAAGGTTGTGAAGGAACCACATCCCCAAGAAAAAAAGAACAAAACATTCGTAAGGAATAAAGATGTGTATCTTTATATATAGATGGGGAAAAAAAGAAACCCCAAACAAAACACTCCACAAAAAACTGGAGCACTTATATAGAACGAAGGTACCTAACATGTACAGTATATAAAAAATAAATATACCATCTTTAGCAGCAATGAATCACTATCACTAGGAGTGCCCCAGCAAAAATCTGCTTGTAATACATGTGCTTAAAAAGTACTTAGGTGCTTAATCATTTAATTGAATTTAAGAAACCTGAAGGACCTTCTAATAACATAAAAGCTTCAAATAAAATCAAAGACAGAGGACAACAGACTACCAGTCTTTACTTTTTCCCACAGTTACATCAAGTTTTATTTTGTACATCTAATACTAGTTATCTTAAATTTATATCTGGTTCATCACCTGAGTACAATTAAACTACTCTAGAATTCTAATAAATCCTATTCTAATTAAATTTTAAGAAACATAATCCAAAAACCCCACTAAAATGTCATAAAAAGCAATCCTAGTAATATAAAAATATAATAAACTATGAAACCAAAGGCTGAGTATGAACAGCAGCCAACAATAAAGGTCAATCTATTACAGGAAGTTACACAGGAATTTGTTTTGGTGACTACAACTTAGGATAGCAACCAAGAGAGTACAACAGGGAAGAGGAAAACATCAAATGTCAATGACATGATAGAAAAGAAGAATCAAATATTTCCTTAACTTACTATCTTAAAACAGTCATAGCTGTCCCATAATGTTAGGAGGAAATCAGTGTTTTCAAATAATTAAAAGGTGAAAAACATTCTTAAGATAATGATGACTACTTATTTTCCTATGTATAGATTCTAGAGTTGTATTACTTATGTATTTTAGTTTTAGCAGTCTATTTATTATAAAACCTCTTTGGGAAATTTCACTGTCCCTGAACTGGTTTGCAATTATCACTGAATAACAATTTTGCCACACAACTGCTCTTACTCAGGTATTGAAGCAAGTGGTTTAAACATTTATTTCAATATTATATAAGTAAAAACTGGTATTATGTCCCTGCAACTGGATTTCAGTGTAAACTTCAAGAACAAGTGTTATTAACTCGGAGTCAACCATCTCAGACCTGAAAAAAGAGTTCACTCTTGCTTATACTGTGAGACACAGGCCTGAGTAACAGAAAACAGTAAACCACATTATAATAATTTGACTCTTGAGTGTGTGTGTTTCACTTTGTTCGTAGCTGTATTTAGATGCAGATTATCTGTTACTTTAGATATTTATTTCAAATAAATAATACACTGAAATGCAGGATCTATGAAGTTACCCAGTTTCCCTATTCTGATCTCTCTTCAAAATCTCTATTCACCCTTCTTTATGCAAAATATATCATCTCAATACTTCCTTGTAGCAAGGATAGTTTTTTTTAGTATTTGACTAAGGTCTGTCTTATTGAGATGGAAAAAAACAAATGAAAATGAAGGCAGTAGTATGGATACCAGCTGTCAATTAAGACAAACTGAAATACTGAATTGTGTAAAACCGAAAGAAGTATTTGTCACAGAGAAACTTCAATTCAGCCAATCTGTTTAAGAAGACATCAAGTCTTACCTACAGCTTATAAATTCATCATAATGGGGTTTCCATTATAATTAGATATGCTTTATTATTTAATAACTATTTAAATAACCTAACCAACTCAAATTTTAGTAATTTCATTGAAAGCAGTGTGGTTCTAAGTTGCTTAATATTCACAGATATATTCTCATATTCGCAGACACATAAATTGGCCAATTCTTATATATATATTAGGAAAAATGTCATGATCAGTCAAAAAACTAGCATTCTGAAATTATATTTTAGAGGCTCTTGCCAGGCTCCTTTGCTAAAGAACTACACAATGGGTGCTTCCACATTCAAGCTGTGTGCACGCTAGAGTACCTGCTGTGAATATTTAGGCAGAAAGATACCTTCCTACTATATGAACACAAGTGAGCAGCCAGACTTTCTGGATAGCTGAGCACTGTTAATCTGGATATAAGATGAGACTATATAATAGCAAAAAAAAAAATTCTTTTCAGATATTCTTTTAAGAATTTGAGATATTCTTTAAGCAAATTTTATAATCTACACAATGTAAATTTTACTTTTAGTATAATTTTACTGTTTTGAAATCAAATGTTCTATTTACATCCATCTGTAGTACACGTGACCTCCAAGACACTAAAGAAAACCAAAAGAAAACAAACAAACAAAAAAACCCTTGCTCTCATATGTATTTTTCTCACAATGATCCCCAAATCATTTTTTTTTTAAAGCAGTCTCCTACACAACAACTACCATTTACATCATTTTTTTCAAGTTAGAGTCAATGAAGAGAGTGGATAGAGCACTGGGCAGTTTTAGAAGACTTGCATTTTAATCCACAGATTCATCTCTGACTTTCGAAATTGGACCAATATTGGTATTCATTAACAAAATGTATCACTCAATGGTAGGAAAGGTAAAGAAGCCTTCTCAGAGACTAAACACTCTTAAGGAACACACATTAAAATAACCACAGCAAAGGGGAACTTTTTTTTAACACTACAATGGAACAAAGACAAAAATTAGATATACTCAGTATTCTCAATTAAAATTTAAAATAACTTTAGGTCAAATAGACTACATCAAAACACCCTTTAAGACAATTCTCCATGGGAAAACTAAACAAGGAACTAACCAAATAACATATATGTGATGAGAACTGTCAATAAAGTTAAAGAACGTCAGAAAATTTTATATACTTTTTCTTTTAATGAGAATGTTTAAACTAAAACAGAATAATATTGACCTAATAACTATGTGTTTATTATGGTCAATGGTTTGCCAAAAGTCTTAATGATTAATATATGTAATGCCTTAAAACTGAATAATAGTCTAATTAACATGAAATATGGTAAAAAGTAGCCTTGTTCATTATGATGTTAATTAAAATCTTATAGCCAGGATATATAAATTATTAGGAAAATTTCGACTACACTAATTGCTTTATTAACTCAAAATAGAAGGGTAAAAGAAAGAACTTACTGCAACAATCATTATTGCATTATCCAAAAAGCCAAACCCTATGAAAGGTATCGCATTGTGGATGAATACTGAAAAACATCAAACACAGAAAATATATTTTAGGATTTCTATAATTTTAAATGAGAACACAGACCATATGATTAAAGTCTCCTAAACAGACTTGACAACCTTTTAAATTTGCTTTTAATTCCCCATAACCAAAAGATTCTACTCCTGCTATAAGCTTAATTACTTCCTAGAAGCTACACTAGGGAAACAAAACAAAATTAAAAAACATATAACATGTAAAAATAACTGTGTTAGATTTCTGGGTTGTTTTCTTACTAGCTACACATACAAAGAACTACAGTTAACAGCAGAACAAATAAGTAAATACATATTACAAGTACCATGTTTTACCTGTTTAATTGCTATTGATATCAATCTGTTTCTTATACCTAAAAACTGATATCATAAAATTAATATCACATGTTAGAAATAATAAAAAAATACCCTGAATCAAATTTCAGGGAATCTAAATGGTCACTTTTACTCACTAAACAATTTTTGAACAAATGTGAGAAAAATGTGATCATCTCATCTATATTCACCATCTATATGCAGTCTTTTCCCCCCTCACAATATCGGTATCCCTGAAAGCTTTCACAAACTATTTGATTTAAATCAAAATGTAATTTGGCCTCTTCCTAACAAAGGCATACCTTATCTTATCTATCTAATACAGAATCTGAATGACCTGACATAAAGAAGTGTAACTAGGAAGAACTAATATCTATATATTTTTTAAACATTCAGCCTCACTTTTTTCATATTTGTATCTTCAGCACATTGCAGAATGCATAGTACATTGCAGACACTTAATGAACATTAGTTAATTAAGTTGAGGACCACTAACCTGGAAAGGAAGAGAATACCATATTAAGAGAATTGAAGGCAGACTGTGAAACAGATTAAAAGCTGGGAGAGTTAAAAGACTTTATTCTGACTCATCTATAAAATTACCAAGATATAGCCAACATCAATTCAACTGATGACTTTTTTAGATAAACATCAAACTTGTGAGTTTTATAACATATCCAGCAAATAGTTCCTTAAGTGAATTGGTTGTGTGTGTTCAGTGACTTTAGAATGTTTTTCTTTTTAATGCAGTTAAGTCCAAGTGTTAATTAAGATATAATCCAGAAGTTATTGAAGTTTGACATTACTCTAGCGAGTTCTGCACCAACCCAGGAAAGGCTAATAAGCAGTAAACAAAACAAAACAAAAAAACACTCTACCCAAAACCACTACTGAAGACTAAGATCAGAGGAAAAGGGTATATGTATCCTAGGTCATTTCAGATTTCTTCTTGTTATCAAATAAGAATGTTCAAGATAAAAAGTAGCATCTTTTTAATTATAAAGAAGATCATTTTTAAAAGGTATTATTTTAAAAACTATTAAAGATGGTAAAAATCAAATAGCGGATTAATGAAATGGGATTTTTCAATTAAAGAGTCTTGGGGCACCTGGGTGGCTCAATGGGTTAAGCCTCTGCCTTCAGCTCAGGTCTTGGTCTTGGGGTCCTAGGATCGAGCCCCGCATAGGGCTCTCTGCTCAATGGGGAGCCTGCTTCCCCCTCTCTCTCTGCCTGCCTCTCTTGTCTACTTGTGATCTCTCTCTCTCTCTCTCTGTCAAATAAATAAATAAATAAATAAATAAAATCTTAAAAAAAAAATAAAGAGTCTAGTCTGAGTTCTTTGATTTTGCCCAAGTCTAGTTGCTTAACTATTAGACATTCAAACTTTTATAATAAGCAACTTTAAAGAATAAAATATATCATGCATTTATGCTTAGACCTAAGTAAATGTGTCCTATAAGTAAAAAATTTATTATCAACACAAAGGAAAAAATACAATTTTCAAATTGTTAAATAAACATGTACAGGACATTCCATCAGGCATTAGATATAAAGATATGTAAGACTTGGTTACCAACCCTCAAGAAGTTTGGGTGTGATAACATACCATATCAACAGTTAATTTCAATAGAACCAATAGAACCAGTTTTTTTTTTTTACTATTATCATAGTACTATCCATTGTTATGAACATGAATTTGCATGAACCTAGGCTAGGAGGATCAGGAAAAACTATCAGGAGAAGAAAAGTCTTAAAGAATTCTTAAATGTATTTGGGAAAAGTTATTATTTCTAATATAAATTATACTCTATCTCTTGGAAAAAAAAGAACTGGGTAGTTAATTAAGTTTTTAAAAATCTTGTAAATTTGCTCTCCAGTATCTAATGATCTCCTATTAATTTGTGATTTCTTCAATTTCCTTTGGGAAATATTACTCTCTAACAGCAAATCACATCTAGTATTTCGCTTTCACCTACAACCTACTTGAATTCACTGTACTGTTAAAATATTCTCTTCTTTTGTTGTCTTTATAATAAGACCCCAAACTGTTTTACATTATTGCCCATGTTAGCCTTGACTATTTATTCCCAACTTAACAGAGTAAAGAAAGTACACCAGCACTATTATAAGCTTCTTCTTCGTGGTGGTCTTAAATGAACTTAACTTTCCTCATCATCACAAACAGCAAGCTGTAAGTATTTTCTCCACCAGAGAACAGTTTTACTTTCTAGTTATGAAATTTCTTTCTAGTTATGAAATTTCATAACTTTCTAGTTATGAAATTACCCTACTTAAATCCAAACTAAAGTAAATATATTCTTTTTCCTGGGAATTAAGAAAACCTAACCATAAGTATACTTTTAGTTCTAGATGGTGACAACAGTTTAACAATGTTAGATACTATTAACAATATTAGAAATTCCATAATATTGTAATATGTTATAAACCAAGCTTATAAACTTTTTGTGTCAGCATGATAAATAAGATAACCAACTCTATCTGGAAAAATTAAATTTACTCACTCTTCTATATTAGTAGAAATGATACCATTTTTTTATGTCTAAAAGACAGATGTACAAATATTTAACAATTATAGAACTATTACCGTATCTCAGCTGTCCTGGGGTGGGTGGTGCAGCTTCCAACTTTTCTAAAGGGGAAAGATAGGGTTTAGGTCAAGAATTAGTTACTATAGCATGATTTCTTTTTTATTACAATAAAAAAAATACCAGCAGATTTATAATGTATAAGAATATCAAAGTTTATTTATAAATTTTTGTAGGTTAATGGACCAAAGTTATCCACACAGAAAATAATACTTGGTATGGATTAAACTACAAGGCTAGAAAACAAAACTGAACTTTAGTTACAAGTCTACCATGGAACCTATGACCCTGGGTAATCGTTAGTTTTTCATTTTTGTGTTAAGTCCTTGCATCTATATAATAAGCCTGTTTACATTAATTACAAAAAAAAGTCCTCTGAAATATAGCTATTCTTCTTTGAGATACAGTGATAGATGACTTAGGTGTTATATATACAAACAAACATTGATAGCAGAAAAAAGAATATTCAATAAATCTAGATATCCTTTAAAAAACAGAAAATAACATTTTCAAAGCAATGTATTACAACAATGACTTCACTGGATTGCGTTCTGTTCCTTAATCTCCCTTGATAATGTACTGAATATTTTGAGTTTTGAAATCTATATACTATTGGATAATGCAGAATATTCTACACAATAAAATGACCCAAAAAAGTAGGGTGCTATTCAAAATCATAAGTAACAATAAACTATTTATAATATATAGCATAATAAACACACAAACTTTTCCCAAGTATAAATCAAAGTATCTTTAAGTACCATCACTAAATCTAAAAATTAACATTATAAAGAAGCAATGTATCCAATCTCAACAATAACCATCTCACCATTTGTATAAGTACAAGAGCAAGCTATGGTAAAATGGCAGAGAACATACTTTCTTTATCCTCATCAGTCCAAAAGAATTAACTGACAGTCTATTGAGAAGAACCCACACCACAGATCACCCTGTTCTAAAGATTTAGTATAACCATACTGCCTAAAGAAATATATTACAAACTGGACATATATTTTCTAAAATATTTATTTATAATCTATAACAACATAAGAACTAAAGAATTTAGTTTTAGAAAAGCAAAAAGCAAGTAAGTCTCCACTGATAAGCTATATAAAGAAGAAGTACTGCCCATATTTATGAATGGTATTTTACTTAAAACACATAGAGTACCATAATGGTTTTGCAATAAGAAGTACACTAAAACCTTGAGTTTAGTCAATTATCATATTATTCAGAAAGTTCTAAGAATGCAAGTTTACGTTTTGTTTTCCCTTTATTTAAATGAGTTATGAAAAGAAGATATACTAATCTTTGCAGAATTTCACATCTGATTAAAATATTCTCTATTTATTGACTAACACCATTACCTCAAAATCAATTTTGAAAGCATGCAAATGGTTTTCCAAATGTTAACAAGGAATATAGGATACCATTGTACTCCACAGAGATTTCTGCTGAAGTAAACATGCAAAAGTGGTTACATACCAGAACTATTTGCTAGTTGCATTACTCTCATCATCACTACAGTTCTGACACTGTGAGGAGAAGTCCTTGTCAGTTGACTGGAACATCTTGAAATACCTAAAAATTCAACAAGCAGGACCTTCCCAATAGAATGAGAATATACGGAGTCCTTGCTTTTACTTCTCAAATTCCCTACGTATTCATATTGAGCAAAATATTGAAAATATTTACAAGTCCTAAGAAGAAAGGATAAGAGGTAGGCAAATCTATAAGGTGCAGCAAAGAGATAACAACCAAATAATATAATCGATATTCCTAAACTTCCTTTCCTATTACCCAAAAGGGTTAAAAAATTAAAAGTAATGAAAAGATAAATTTTTTAAAGACTGAGAAAGAGAAAAAAATATAAAGGAGATAGAGCAAGGTGGAAAACCATTGGCACAGAGATTAAAGTAAAACCAAAGCAGAGGTTCTGCCTCCTCCTTCACAAAGAGCCTATTCAGTAGCAAGAGGAAACATGAAAGAAACATTTCCTAGAAAGTGGAAATCATACTGGAAATTATCCACCAAAAATTTTTAAAATCATAAATTGACGTTTGAGGACTCTGAAACTGTAAGTTACCTTCTTAGCTATGTTAACTGAATCAAAACTATATATGTCAGAAGTGAAAAACTTTGGATGTACAATATACAACAGAACTCCATCTTGGAAATAAGCATCTATAGGTTTTAAAAATCTATACAAAATTTTCTTTTGACATATGGTAAACTATTTGTCCTTATATTGGAAATATATTCTAATCTAATGTTTCATTAAGAAGACTTTGGAGTTAGAAAAACTAGTTATTTCAGTTTGTGTGCGTGTGTGCGTATGTGTGTGTGTGTATGTGTGATATACATCATGGTTTCTTCTTTTTCTGAATATCTCAAAAAAAAAAAAAACCACATTAAGATTGTACTTCACCATCCCATATTTTCCAATTATTTTAGCTTAAAAAAAATCTAGTTCTACTTCTACTATTGGCTTAGTAACCTCCTACAATACCAATTCTCCTACATAAATAACTACACACAAACATATAATAAATAACTACTTAAATGCACTAGAAAGTGACCAAAAACAGATTGATTCTGGAAAGGAATTAACACTTAGAAAAAAGACTAGAACTAAGTGAGTTACCTGCTTATAGTACCTTTTGGCCTGAGGGCAGACCTCAACCCACAATATGTAAGGCAACAAAACTCAAACAAAAAATCTTCAGTCTTTCAGGCCTGAAGAAGCAGTGGACAAAGTGCAACATAACCAAAATCCCTGGAAACTGAAAGGGGAGTCCTGGAAAGGATAGAGTCAGGAAGGAGCCCTAAATCTGTATATACAGTCAATTCCAATATATGGCTGACCTGTGAACTGCACATTTGCAGAAGAAATAAAAAAGGCTAGCTAAGGGTAAAATAACCAAGGATTTGAGCTACAAACAAAAAACACAGAGTTTGCAGATTGAGCCTAACCATCAACTGCCTAAAACAGTAAAAAAACAAAAACAAAAACAAAAAAAACCTGGTATTTTTTAGAAGAATAACACAACCCAGAGTATCTACAGCAGGGTAATTGCAGAATTGTATTAAGATATAATCCAAAATTATTGCACAAACCAAAAAACAGGAAAACATGACCCATTTTCAGGAGAAAATACAATAGACAGAGATCAATTCTGAACTGATTCAAATGTTACAAGTAGCAGACAGGGGCTTTAAAGTAGCAATCAAAATTATATTCAAAAATATAAATGAAAATATAGTCAAATGGAAACTATAAAGAGGAACCAAACTCAAGTCCTAGAACGAAAAATATATTAACTGAAATTTTTAAATTAACTGGATAGGCTTGAAAGCAAAATGGAGATTACAAAACAAAGAATGAACATGATAGATCAAAAAAATAACCCAATCTGAAGAATGGAAAATAAAAGGATTGAGAAATAATAAATCAGTCTCAGAGACGTGTGGCTAAATATCAAAAAGTCAATACACGTATAACTAGAGATCCAAAAGGGAAAAGGAAGAACAGAACCAAAAAATATTTAAATAAATTATGCCTAATAATTTCCCAAATTTGGTGGAAGACAAAATTTCAAAAGATTCAAGAAAGTTCAGGGAACCTCTGGTAGAGCAAGAATGAAGAAAATCAGTGATAAGAAAAAGGAATCTTGAAAGCAGTCACAAAAAAATGACACATTAAATAAAGCAAAAAAATGATTTATATATACTTCAAGAAGAAAAAAAAAAAAGCTGTCAACCCAGTATTCTATATCCAGAAAGATTATATCCTTCAAAAATGAAGGCAAACTGTATCTTAGATAAACTAAAACTATGAGAATATGTTGCCAGCCAACCTACAATATAGAAAAACGTGAAAGCAAGTTCTTTAGACTGAACAGGAATACCAGTTGGGCAGAAGAATCTTCAGGAAAGAATGAAGAATATCAGAAATGGTAAATATTGGATAAATATAAAAAACTACTTTCCCCTAGTAATTTAAATTAGTTAGACCCATCTAAAAAGAAAAAAAATTATAACTCTGTCTTATGGAGTTTATAACATATGTAGATGTAATTCATATAACACCAAACCATAAAGGATGAAGGAGGTTACAAATGGACCAATTTGATAATTTGGTTGTAATATTTCTACAATGTCTATTACATGATACAATATTAGCTCTAAATAGTCTATGAAGAAGTAAGAAAGCATATTTGTAATGCCTGGAGTGATCACACATACAGACAAAATGCAATGAGGTTACTTAAAAAGCTAGTAAATAATTTGAAGAGAATTTTTAAAAATATTAAGTTAAGGCAAAACAATGCAGGAAATGTGAACAGAGAGACATACAGCAAATAGTAAAATAGCAAACCTATAACCTACCACAAGAATAATTACATTCAATGTTAATGGACTAAACACTCCAAATAAAAGGCAGAGATTGCCAAAACAGATAAAAAAGCAAGACCCAACTGTAAGATATCCACAAGAATTATACTTTGATGGGTTGAAAATAAATGGATGGTAAAAGATACACTTATAGATACACTATAAGCTTATAAAAGCTGGAGTAGCTATATTATCATATAAAGTAGACTTAAAGAATATGGCCAGAACCAGGAACATTTCAGATTCATAAAAAGAATTAATTCATCAAAAGGCATAATAACAATTTGATTATGCCAGTAACACAGCTTCAAAGTGCATGATGCAAAATCTGACAGAATTAAAGGGCAAAATAAACAATTCTACAATCATACTTAGAGATATAAAAGCCTCTTTCTCAGCAATTGACAGGAAACTAGGCAAAAATACCAGTAAGACAGTTTATTTGACTACCAATCATCCTAATCTAATTACTACTTAAATGACACCCAACATCTATAGAATAAATATTCTTTTCAAGTGGAGATGGTACATTTAACAAGATAGACCATAAGCTCACCCATAAAACATGTCAACAAATTTTTGATTAAAATACTAAAGAATATGTTCTCTGACCAAAATGGAATCAATAACAATAAGATACCTAGAAAAAAATTTTGAAAATTAAATACCATCTTCTAAATACAGGGGCCAAAGAAGAACTGAAAAGGGAAATTAGAAAATACTTCAAACTGAATATGAGTGAAAATACAATGTATCAAAATTTACGGTATGCAGCTAAATGAATGCTTGAAGGGAAGTTTGAATTGCTTACATTAAGAAGTAGAAAGATCTAAGATAAATGGCCTATGGTTCTATCTTAAGAAGGTATGAAAAAAAGAGCAAGTTAAATCAAGAGTTAAGTAAATAAAAAGAAGGCAATAACAAAAGAAAAGAGCTGAAATTAACTAATAGAAAAGCAATAAAGGAAATAGGCAAAGGCAAAAGGTGGTTCTTTGAAAAGATCAACAAAACTAATAAACCTCTAGGTACATGATCAAGAAAGAGAGTGAAAACTCAAATTACTAATACCAGGAATGAAGGAGGGGACATCACTACAGATCCAATAGGAACCAGAGTGTTATGAATAACTTTAAGTCAACAAATTCAACAACTTTGATGAAATGTACATATTTTGAAAAATACAATTTACCAAAACTGATGTGAAATAAAACAAAAAAATCTGAATATCTCTATCTATTAATAAAATTGAATTTGTCATCAAATACTTTTGCATAACATAAACACATAAAAAGCCTCCAGGCCCAGATGGTTTCATTGCTGAAATTTATCAAATTCTTAAAGAAAAACCACTAATCTTAACATAAATGCATAAACTCTTTAATAAAAATAGAAGATAGGGGCACCTGGGTGGCTCAGAGGGTTAAGCCTCTGCCTTCGGCTCAGTTCATGATCTCAGGGTCCTGGAATCGAGCCCCGCATCGGGGCTCTCTGCTCAGCAGGGAGCCTGCTTCTCCCTCTCTCTCTCTGCCTGCCTCTCTGCCTACTTGTGATCTATCTCTGTCAAATAAATAAATAAAATATTTAAAAAAAGAAGATAAAGAAATACTTCCCAACTTGTTTTATGAGGCCAAATAATCCTAAAAATAAAAACCCAACCATGAAATGACAAGAAAAAGTGAAACACCAATATCCCTCATGAACATAAACAAGAAAATCCTTAATGGAATGGTAACTGTTCTGTCTTCCCAAAGTGTAAGTGTTTATCCACGACAGTGGCAAAAAATAACAACCAGACTTCTTCACATTTTCCCCTTTCTTAAATATTTCTCATTGTTTGAGGGAAAAGTTGCTCTTAGTAGAGTCCTATGTTTAGAAATACACAGGTTAGGGGCACCTGGGTGGCTCAATCAAACATCTTTTTATTTCAACTCAAGTCATGATCTTAGGGTTGTGAGATCAAGCTCTGCCTTTGGGACTTGAGATTGTCTTTCTGCCTTTCCCTCTGCTCCTCCCCTCCCTTAAAAAAAGAAAACAACAACAAAACAACAACAACAACAAAGAAACACACAGGTTAGGAAAATTACCAGCAAGCATTTATGAGAGAATATTTACCAATAGTATTTTTTTCCTTTTGATTTCACATTTAAAAGTTTGCCTGAGGGAGGGTAAATAAGAGAAGACAGTTG